TGGAGGTGGAAAATCATGGTGTAGGGCTGTTTTTCAGTATATGGTCCTGAGCAAACTTCATAGGAAGGTTGAAAATAAAAATGTACCAAAACATTCTTGATAAAAATCTGCTGTCATCTACCAGGATGATGGTGATGAAACGACGGTGGACATTTCAGCATGACAATGATCCCAAACACAAAGCCAAGGAACCTCCCAGTTGGTTTCAAGAAAAAAAATAAAGCTGCTAGAATGGCCCAGCCACCTGACTTCTAAATCTATGGAAAGAACTAAAGATCAGAGTTCATAAAAGAGCTCCTTGGAACCTTTAAGATTTGAAGACTGTGTGGAATGAGTCAAAATCACACCTGAGCAATGCATACGACTAGCTTCTCCGTACAAGAGGAGCCTTGATGCAGGCAATACAAGCAATGGATTTTGAACAAAGTATTAAATAAATTTCAGTTAGCATATTCAATATATTTACCTAGAAAAATGTGTTCAATACTTATTTTACCCGCTGTAGATGTTGCAAGGTGTCACCAACTTGTTCATTCCAGGCCTAGAAGACTTGATGCTATCTTTACAAATTATGAAGGTCATACAAAATAGTAGCAGTAATAGTTTTTGTTGTGAGGTGTATTCCTTTTTTGCATCAACTAATTTGAGTAAAACTGAAAATTATAATCTAAGTTATATAATTAACCTTACTTTCCTGTAACAAGCTAAAACAAATGTTCTATAAAACTCAGCTTTATGGAAATTTTGGAAATTGTTCGAGATATTCATTAAAACCTTACTTTTGAAAAGGGGTGTACTCATTTAAACACATCGGATCTCAACGGGGAAAAAATCCTGCTGGATATCTATACTGATATGGACTGGGTAATGTGTTAGAAATGTAAAAATGCCCCATCGTTTGATGTAAATGAAAATTGTCAACCTACAGAGGACTGATTTTAAAGACACCCTGAAAATCAAAGTGAAAAAATATGCAGCAGGCTAATCCATTTTGCGAAATTTTACTGCAGCAACTCAAAATAGTACTCAGTAGTTTGTATGGTCCGCACGTACTTGTATGCATGCCTGACAATGTTGGGGCATGCTTCTAATGAGACGATGTTTGGTGTTCTGGGGTAATTCCTCGCAAATCTGGACCAGGGCATCACTGATCTCCTGGATAGTCTGAAGTGCAACCTGGCAAATCGGATGGACTGAAAAAATGATATCGCAGATGTGTTCTATTGTATTTAAGTCAGGTGAGAGGGGGGCCATTCAGTGGTATCAATTCCTTCGTCCTCCAGGAACTGCCTGCATACTCTCGTCAAATGAGGCCAGGCATTGTCGTGCACCAAGAGATACCCAGGACCCACTGCACCAGCGTAGGGTCCGACAATGGGTCAAGGATTTCATCCCGATACCTAATGGCAGTCAGGGTGCCATTGTTTAGCCTGTAGAGGTCTGTGCATCCCTCCATAGATATGCATCCCCAGAGCATTAACAGACCCACCACCAAAACGGTCATGCTGAACAATGTTGCAGGCAGCATAATGTTCTCCACGGCTTCCCTAGACACATACACATCTGTCACATGTGCTCAAGGTGAACCTGCTCTCATCTGTGAAAAGCACAGGGCGCCAGTGGCAGACCTGCCAATTCTGGTGTTGATTGACAAATGCTAAATGAGCTCTATGGTGCCGGGCAGTGAGCACAGAGCCCACTAGAGGATGTCGGGCCCCCCTCATAAAGTTTTTGTTTGGTCAGAGACATTCACACCAGTGGCTGCTGAAGGTGATTTTGTGGAGCTCTGGCAGTGCTCATCCTGTTCCTCCTTGCACAAAAGGAGCAGATACCAGTCCTGCTGATGGGTTAAGGACCTTCTACGGCCCTGTCCTGCTCTCCTAGCGTAACTCCTGGAATCTCCGCCATGCTCTTGAGACTGTGTTGGGACACGCAGCAAACCTTCTGGAAATGGCATGTATTGATGTGCCATCCTGGAGGAGTTGGCCTGCCTGTGCAACCCCTGTAGGGTACAGGTATTGCCTCATGCTACCAGTAGTGACACTGACGCTAGACAAATGCAAAATTAGTGAAAAACAGTCAGAAAAGAGGAGTAGGGAAAAATATGTCAGTGACCTCCACTTGTAAAACCATTCCTGTTTTGTGGGTCATCTCATTGTTGCCTATGAAGTGCACCTGTTAATTTAATTAACACCAAAGCAGCTGAAACTGATAAACAACCCCCTCTGCTAATTAACTGACCAGATCACTATCCCAGGAGTTTAATTGACTTGATGCTATACTCCGTTTAAAAAGTGTTCCGTTAATTTTTTTGAGTAGTGTATATATGTAAATACAGCATTTCACAGAAGTGAGTACACCCCTCACATTTTTCTAAATATTTGATTCTATCTTTTCATGTGACAACACTGAAGAAATTACACTTTGCTACAATGTAACGTAGTGAGTGTACAGCTTGCATAACAGTGTAAATTTGCTATCCCCTAAAAATAACAACACACAGCCATTAATGTCTAAACCGCTGGTAACAAAAGTGAGTACACCCCTAAGTGAAAATGTCCAAATTGGACCCAAAGTGTCAATATTTTGCGTGGCCACCATTTTCCAGCACTGCCTTAACCCTCTTGGGCATGGAGTTCCTCAGAGCTTCACACACTGGGAGTCCTGCCACTCCTGGAGTCCTCACGGAGCTGGTGGATGTTTAGAACCTTGCACTCCTCCACCTTCCGTTTAAAGATGCCCCACAAATGCTCAATAGGGTTTAGGTTTGGAGACATGGTTGGCCAGTCCATCACCTTTACCCTTAGCTTCTTTAGCAAGGCTGTGGTCGTCTTCGAGGTGTGTTTGGGGTTGTTATGTTGGAATATGCTGCCCTGCGGCCCAGTCTCCGGAGGGGATCATGCTCTGCTTCAGTATGTCACAGTACATGTTGGCATTCATGGTTCCCTCAATGAACTGTAGCTCCCCAGCACTCATGCAGCCCCAGACCATGACACTCCCACCACCACGCTTTACTGTAGGCAAGACACACTTGTCTTTGTACTCCTTGCCTTGTTGACACCCTCTGAACCAAATAAGTTTATCTTGGTCTCATCAGACCACAGGACATGGTTCCACTTATCCATGTCCTTAGTCTGCTTGTCTTCAGCAAACTGAATATGATATACCTTCCCATTTACTAAGGCTAGCCGCATAAGAATTAAAAATAGTCCATATTGATTGAGGGAGTGAGGTTCGACTTTTAAGCATAGCTAAACCCTAAAACAAAAAATAATATATTGCACCTTACAATCCTTAGATGATGAATTAGTTTCCTTTTTAACCACGTCAATACTGGACATTTTTACCCCCTTCCTGCCCAGGACAATTTTCAGTTTTCAGCACTGTCACACTATGAATGACAATTGTGCGGTTATGTAACAACTTTAGCCATATGAAATTTTTTACTTTTTTTTTTTAGGCAAACAGCTTTGTTTTGGTTGTATTTAATCACCACTGAGGTTTTTTATTTTCTTATAAACAAAAAAAGACCAAACATTTTGGGGAAATAGCGTGATTTTCTTAGCTTCTGTTCTAAAATTTTACAAATAAATACTTGTTCTTCAAAAATTTAAGCCAAAATGTATTCGGCTACATTTTTTTGGTGAAAATAGCCCAAATCAGTATATATTATTTAGTCTGTAAGAAAGTTAGAGTCCACAAACTAAGGTACAGTATATATATCTGAAATTGATCAATTCTCATGTACTGACTGCCTATCTTATTTATTGAGGCCCTAAAATGCCAGTACAGTACAAATATCCCCCAAATAATCAGTTTTTGGAAAGTAGATAGCCCAAGGTATTTAGTAAGAGGCATGGAACATTTTTTTCAAAGTTGTCATTTTTTGTCACAATTTTTGGAAAATAAAGATGTAAAGCAAAAATATGTTAAAAAATTTTTTTTTTTCAATTTTTGTAAATTCTTTTATTTTTATTTTTTTTACATGCTGTGAACAGAGCAACACAGTGTTACCATAGGAACACTACGTCTCTGCTAAGGTGATCAGGTTTTTTTTTCTACATACTATGATTGCCTACTAATTTTTAAATATTTTTTAAAAGCTATTAGTGTAAGTAGTAATAATGCACAGTGCTAGCAAGGAACATTGTGACAGGAGAGAGTAGACTGAACAGAGAGATAGCATCAGTGAGCTGCTATTGCTTTTTCACTGGCCAGTCATAACCTGGGGGTGAAGAAGCACTGCAGTGAAGAAAGTTTATTCACCAATCTGACACGGTTGCCTATTAGGGTTGTGTATATCTTAGGACTGGCTGGACAGAAAGAAATCCTTTTGCAGGATAAACAACTCCCATATATGTATCATTTAGCTGTTTGCCTGGAGTTTGGTGCAACACTCTAGTTAGTTACCATTTATAATTCCAGTTGTTAAAGGTTACAGCAATGTTAAAACAGAAATATGCCCTAACTTTATGAAATATGAATACTTAAGCACTGTGTATCAAACAACCGCCATATCTTTAACAACATACTTGTTTTCACGATTTCCTGAAGCCTGTTTGCAGCTACTGCTGGTCTACACACATGAACCCCAGTGATGGCTGCATGTCATTTCTCAGGGAGAGTTTCCTAATGGTGACAGTAGTGGACCACGTTTGTGTAAGGTGTGTTGTAAGAATCACATCTTGACTCCACTGAAAGCACAGATGACAGAAAACAATGCAGAAACAAAAGTATAACAGAGAGAGGGACAGAGCATTGTCACCCTATAACAGGAAAGACCTGCTTAACCACTCACCTACAGGGCACTTATACCTCCTTCCTGCCCAGGCCAATTTTCAGCTTTCAGCGCTGTCGCACTTTGAATGACAATTGCGCGGTCATGCAACACTGTACCCATATGAAATTTTTATCATTTTTTTTTGAGACAGAGAGAGCTTTCTTTTGGTGGTATTTAATCTGGGTTTTTTATTTTTTGCTAAACAAACCAAAAACCACTGAAATTTTGTAAATAAGTGATTTTTCTCCTTCACTGATGTGCGCTAATGAGGCTGCAGTGATGGGCACTGATAGGCTGCACTGATGGACACTGATAGGTGGCACTGGTAGGTGGCACTGATAGGCATAACTGATGGGCACTGAAAGGCAGCACTCATATGGCACTGATAGGCGGCACTGACTGGCACTGTTAGGTGGCACTGACTGGCACTGTTAGGTGGCATTGATAGGCAGCACTGACAGGCACTGATAGGTGGCACTGATAGGTAGCACTGACTGGCACTGATAGGTAACACTGAAAGGCAGCTCAGATGGGCACTGATATGTGGCATTGATGTGCACTGGTAGGCACTGATATGTGGCATTGATGTGGCACTGATGAGCACTGACAGCTGGCACTGTTGGACACTGACAGGTGGCACTGCTGGGGCTACACTGATCATTAGGGCACACTGATCATCAGTGCCCTGATGATTAGTGTACATATCCTCTCTGAGTAAAGCCGATTACCGGCTCTCCTCTCGAGCTGTCAGCGTGACAGCTCGTGAGGAGAGAAATGCCGATAACCAGCATTTCCCTATTTACATGTGATCAGCTGTGATTGGACACAGCTGATCACATGACTGAGCTGACATCTTTGGCTCTTTCCGTTGATCAGTGATCCGCTGTGTCCAAGGAACACAGCACACCACCGATCGCCACGCTGCACGCTCCCGGAGCCGCGCATGCGCGGTTAGAATGGGAGGATGCCATATGACATCCTCCCAGAACGAGAGAACCGCCTTTCGCCCGTGATTACCTTATATGGCGGACGGGAGGCGGTTAAGGACCATCATGGTAGAAACAAAAGGTATTAATTTATTGAAAACTCATCAATTCATCCCCACCCAGCTATTACCTTTTTGTATCACTTACCCCTTCCTTTTAAGCTGGCCATACACTATGTGAATTTTAGTGGGTTACTGATGAACCACCTGTAATCCATCCTGTAAGTCGCCCTTTTGCCATCTTCTTTGATTGAAAATTGAAGGTGCTGGATGGAAAATTTTCATCTTATTATTGGCAGTTGTATCCAGTCAGATGCAGGCACTGTGAAGAGTTTTTGACAGCCAGTGGTACCTGGCATTCAGAAAACAAAAGCTGCAGTAGGAGATTTGTGAAATCCCAGCTGCATAACAAGGAGGGAGGAATCTGTCATATTTCTTCTAGACTTTTTTAGCTCAGTGTACAGACTACAAAAAAAAAAAAAAAAATCTAAAGCCTCATTTACATTTATGGTTGGGGGAGTGGTGGAAAAATGTGGCTGAGCAGTGTTTTTAGTGCCCGCACCTTCTCCACCTTAAAGCAAAGCTCCACCCAAAAGGGGAAGTTTTGCTTTGAGGACTCATATCCCTCTCCTATTATAAATTGGCACCTTTGGGGAATGGGGGGAAATGGGTACCCGATTTTGACAAGTACCCGCTCCCAATGCCTAGGCGATAAGAAGCAGCCATTCTACCTCCTCCTTCAGTCTTCTGGGACATGCGACAGGTCCCAAAAGAGCCCTAACTGCAGATTCTTGCTGCCGGAATAACCGGGATATGCAATCAGCAGAGGCCGCTCAGCCCATTTTAACCAACTGCGGGATGACAGCGGCTACTACTGTTCACATGTAGCAGCCTACAGAGCAGGTTGGTGCAGATGGGCTCGGACATCTGTTCCTAACTATTCGGTTTTAATGGCAAGGCTGGGATGTTAATAAAATGGGGGACTTTAATTATCTGGATATTGACTGGGAAGACGGAACTGCGCTTGCAAACAATTTCATGTGTCAATTAGTGGATGTCCCAACTAGAAATAAGGCCCTGCTTGACCCACGAATTACAAATAACACAGAGTTGATTGCATATGTGGAAGTAAGGGATAATCTGGGAAATAGCAATCACAGGGTAATTACGTTCACTGCAAATTATGGGAGACATGAGGGTAGGACAAGAACGTTGAATTTCAAAACAGCCAACTTTACTAAACTGCACTCCATACTTCAAGACCCTAAATGGGAAGATATTCTAAAAACAAAATCACGGAGGAAATGTTTGAATGTGTTAAGAACAAATTAACTAATGGCATTAGCCAGCTTTTTTCAAGCTTAAGTGTATAGGAGCAGAAAAATGTTTTTATTGTGGGAGCTTTTAGGAGCTTTTTTCTGGCAGAAAAAAAAAAGCTAAAACGCTCCTAACAGCTTTTTGTTTTCCTACATGTACTGCAAAAACACTAATGCTCCTAAAAGCTACTGAAAACTGCTATTACCAGCGTTTTTTAACCAGCAATTTTTTTAGCTTAAAAAAAAAACAAAAATACGCTAGTGTGCATGGAGCCTACAGAGAAACAACTGTCCTTTAAAAACATAAGGTCAAGTGGTCCCGATCAGAATTCCAACTCTACAAAGAATGCAATAAGAACTGTAAGAGTGTGATAAGGGCAGAGAAAGTAGACCATGAAAGACACACAGAGGAGGAGACTTAAAAGAATCCCTCAAAACTGTTTAAATATATTAGTGAAAAAAAAAAAAAAAAAAACACAAAGTCAGGGCACATAGGCCCCATATAGGATAGTCAGGGGAAGTTGGTTATGAATGACAAGGAGCAGACAACTATGTTAAATACATTTTATTCCATGGTTTTTACTTAGCAAAGCGAGGAGAATAATAAACAAGACTGTATTGTTAGTAACACAACACAGAATGTAGCCTTGTGGCTAACAGAAGCCAGTATTCAAAAAGACTTGAGAAATTTTATGTCAATAAATCAGTAAGACCAGATCGATTACACCTGAGAGTCCTCAAAGAACTTGGCTAGGTTATTCCTAGACCGTAATTCCTAATCTTTAAGGACAGCTTACTGACCGACATGGTACCACCTAATTGGCAAAAAGCGAATATGGTACCAATGTTCAAAAAAAGGGCTAAGAGATAAGAACCTGGAAACTACAGGACAGTCAGCTTTAAAATCAATAATATGTAAGCTATTGAAGGGGATAATGAGAAATCAATATTCAAGATATTCTTGATAAAAATTATATCAATAGTAGTAACCAACATGGATTTATAAAGGACCATTCGTGCCATACCAGCCTATTAACATTCTATGAGGAAGAGAACTGTAATCTTGATAGAGGAAGGCCTATGGATGTGGTGTATCTGGATTTTTCCAAAGCATTTGACACAGTACCCCATAACTGCCTAATTCACAAATTCAGGCCAGTTGGCATTGATGACAGTGTATGTAACTGGATAGACAACTAGTTAAGGGACCGCATCAAGAGAGTGCTGTTCATAAATGATATAGAGGTGGGTATAAATAGATCAATTTCAGTTTTTGCGGATGATACAATGCTAAGCATTGCAATAATCTCACAACAGGATATACCCTGTTTCCCCGAAAATAAGACCTACCCCAAAAATAAGACCTAGTACTATTTTTGGGAATTGCTAAAGAATAAGACCTAACCTGAAAATAAGACCTAGTTGCAATCAGGGCTTTTTTTCAGCCGAAACGTGGCGGAACGGCGTTCCGCCACTGGCCCTGTGCACACCAATATCTACTGTCTCTAATAAACAAAGCGCGGCTTTTGTGTTTGCAAGTGACAGTCCCTCTTGTAAGTGACAACACCATCCGCTCCCACAGAACCTCCCTACCTCTGTACTCACTGTGGGACAGGGAAGGAACAGATATCTGAAGGTGCAGTGTGTTTAGGGGTGGGGCATCTCATCCTGCAGCCTAATGCATGGAAGCCGATGCTCCAGGGGTGATCGCTGGCCAGTGGGGAAGAGGCGGAGCAATGAGTGAGTGCGCTTGATGCACTGTGTGGATAGATAGGACCTAAAACGGGAGTTACTATAGAGGGGCCAGCTTCTGACAGCTGTGTTTTGTAAAGCTAGGGTATGAGGGTAGTGGATGGGGATGGGGGGATGTGCAAAGTGAGCTGCAGTCAGGTGTTGTAGAGGTATATTTACAGGTGAATTGCAGACTGGGTGCATAGGTGAACTGCGGCTGGGGGGGGTGCAGAGGTGAGCTGAGTTGCAACCCACCACTGCACCCCCCAGCCACAGCTCAGCTCAGCTGAAAACCCCTGTCCACAGCTTGCCTCTGCACCACCCAGCCACAGCCCACCTCTGCATCCCCTGTCAGCAACTCACCTGTCAATTCACCTCTGCAACAACTGACTGCAGCTCACAACTGTCATCAGCTGGACCTTCATCCACAACTGCTTGCAGCTCACCTCTGCATTTCCTGTCCATACCTGTACATTTAAAAAATAAGACCTACCCCGAAAATAAGACCTAGTACATTTTGAGCCAAAAAAAATATAAGACAGTGTCTTATTTTTGGGGAAACACGGGTAGCAAGTTTACAGAAATATGTCAATAAAATAGAGGGCTGGGCAACTACATGGTAAATGAGATTTAATATTGACAATTGTAAAGTAATACACTTGGAGGCTAAAAATATGAATGCAAGTTACTCGCTAGGGGGAGAACCTCTGGGAGAAAAGGATCTGGGGGTTCTATCAGATAAGGGGTTCAGCAATAGCATGCAATGTCAAGCTGCAGCAAGCAAGGCTAGTAGACTATTAGCATGGATTAAGAAGGGGATATACTCAAGAGATAAATCTATAATTCTATCACTTTACTAGACCACATCATGAGTATGCTGTCCAGTTCTGGTCACCTGTCCTTAGGATGTGCTGGAACTGGAGAGAATCCAGAGGAGACTAATAAGAGGACTGGAGGACCTCAGTTTATGAGGAAAAATTCCAAACATTAAACATTCTCCCTGGAGAACAGATGCTATAGAGAGATATGATCACAATTTACAAACATCTAAATCTTGACTCAAGTGTAAGGAGAAAATTCCCTCCACAATTGGTGGCTTCAATTGGGATTGTCGATAATTTCAAAACATCTTAGATGGGCATCTTAGCAAACACAATATACAGTAAAATGACAGAGACAGAGATATACACACAGGTTGAACTAGATGGATCGGTGTCTATTCAACCTTACCAACCTTTATGAGGTAACTAAATAAACTTAAAGTGTTACTATATCCAGGACCCTACATTCACTATATCTGGTCTCCCACAGTAAACAGAACATGGAAGTGCAATTATTTTAGTAAATAAAAACTGCTAAATAACTTTTCTCATGAGCAGTTAGAACACTCTTGTGACTTCTATCAGTGTTCAGCAGAGCACTGGTTAAAGCTTGTAGGAGGAGTATTCATTCTCCTGTAGGAGGATGCAGAACCCTGACCTCTGGCTGGACAGTGCTGATTGGCCATGTGATGATCACATGCATCCTCCCAAGAAACCCCCCCCCCATAAATCTCTAGCAATACACACCAAACTGAGCATGTGCAGAGTGACTCCACACAATATGTTTTATCAAGATAAGGGAGGGACATTGGAAGAAGGGGAGGATCAGAGAAGTCAGAATCATCAAACAGTTTTTTTACACAATGCAGAGGATTAACCCCTTAGGCTCCACAGTGAGTATAACAAGCATGCTCTACTGCACAAGTGACAAACTGCGGCCCTCCAGCTGCTGAGAAACTACAAGTCCCATCATGCCTCTGCCTTTTGGAGTCATGCTTTTCACTATGAGCCCTGCAATGCCTCATGGGATTCATAGTTCCGC